CGGGCCCCAAGGGTCACACCCACTCATGCATATCTGTTAGCTACCACAACACGAGAACCCACCGAGCGATTATTTATTTATACATATATATATATTAATTTTTTTACCTTTTGTGAGCTGAAGGACTGGGTCCAGTGGTACAAACCCAGCCTGTCCTGGGATTTGAGAGCGGGGTCTGTCGGGTCCTGCTTTTCCTCCCCTTCCGTGGATTTCCCCGCGTCGTTCTCCAGCGCCGAGATGGGCCACCAGCTGCAGTTGGTGGGAGTAACATTATTGGGAGTCGCCATGACAGCCTGAGAGGCAGCGGGGAGAGGGACGAGGGAGCGAGCGGCGCTAGCCCCGCATCACATGGGCTCCTGCCGGCAGCATCACTCCCGGGGCAGCATCACTCACCCCCGGGGCAGCCCCAGCTCCCCGGCCGGGCTCACTGCCCAGCGCCGGGGCTCACAGGAGAGGAGGGGGACGGGGGTGAAGCCTCAGCCCGTCCCCGCTCGTGGCGGGGCTCCCACGGAAACGTGCGGGCATCGCTTCAATAGGCGAGTGTCGGCAGCGGCGGCTCCTGCTGCCCGCCCGGCAACCCGGGGCAGCTCCAGCCCCTGCGGCTCCTGAGGAACATTTGCGGCAGAGATTAGGAATTTTTATCTTTTCCCCGACCTGTTTAGACATGGCAGATACGTGATAAATGGCTCCATTGATGGATACTGGCTTTAAAATGTCTTGCCTGCCTTTCAGCCTTCATTCAAAGAAGCACCGATGGCTCTTCAGAGGTGTTGAGTGATTGGGAGTGCGCACTAATTACTGCCTAATGGGTGTGATGCTGCCTGGCCCGGGGTAGAGCCCAGGAGCCCTCCCTGTGTCCCAGAGCCCCAGGGTGCCTGCTCAAACCGGACAGGCATCCTGCACCAAAGCAGGCAGGGCTCGGGGGGCTCTGCCAGAGTTAGCAAGGTGTGTGGAATTTGCAAACGGGGTTCGTTCCTCTGCTCGGAGTGTGCTGGGGCTCCTGGAACTGCTGCTCTCCAGGCACTACGAGCATCACCCAGAGGTTGTGTAGGCAGCTGGTGGCTTTATGGGCACAGTGACCCGGACATCTGGGCCTGTGCTTGATGACACTTGGCTTTGTCACACTCTATCTCCACCAATCTGGCAGCCTGGAGATAAGTTCCCATACATCTGCCAGTATGGGGGGGTTGGGGATAAAACCAGCCTGGCGATTTGGGTTGTAGGGGCAAGTTGTGGAGGGGATGGAGGAGAGGACTCGATGGGCACAGGGAGCCAGTCTGTGTCTTGGTGCTGTGTGAGGGCTTTGGGTGCAAACACGGCTCCTCCGTGTGCTGCTCCTGTCTCCACCCACTCTGGAGCTGGTGAGGTTGCCCCAGGTGTGGAGGGAAACAGGGGGAGGATTTGAGAGAGCTGGCTCAAGTGGGGAAACTGAGGCACACGTCCCCAAAAAGCACTGGGAGAGGTGGGGCCAAACTGGTACCCAGCCCCGCGAGCAGAGCACTTTTCTAGGAACTGGGAGGTGAAGACCCATTGGTGTCGTGATGTCCTGCCCCCGGAGGTGCGCGGGAGGGCGATGCCGGAGGGAGAGAGAGGCTGGGAAAAGGAAAAGAGCATCTTGACCAAGCAGAAGCGGGTGTCTCCTGCGGATCCATGTCCAGAAAGCCCCATCTAGTGGTAGATTTTGTGAGGCATTAACGCTGCGCTGTTGGGAATTCAAAACCTGACTACCTGCTTTCTCCCTCTGGGTCCTGCAGTACGTGCCACCTCTGGAGGTGCTTGTCTCTTTAGTGGGCTTTGGCTTGCTAAACTAAGCAAGGCTTGAAGGGCAGGATGGGTGCCAGCCACCTTCAGAGGTGCCCTGACCTTGTGTGACCTTGTCACCATCTCCAGCTCTCATTCCCAGCCTTCCTGATTGGAAAGGTGGCGATGCTGGGCTGACCCCACAGCTGGGATGCTGTGTGGACAGACCAGGTGGCATCGGCAGAGCCCTGGCAGGAGGTGTTATTGGGACAGGGTTACAGGTGCTGGAGGTTTGAGAATGCACAGTCTGGGGTGTCTGGTGTCAGAGGTGATGCCAGCACCACAGAGGGGAGAGAGCAGGTGGCTGGAATTGGTCACAAGACTTTGCAGGCACAGAAGCACCTTCCTTGTTTTAGAAGGAGGGGATGGAAATCAGGTTGTAGAATCAGCTCCATTGATTTTTTTGATTATTTTTTTCCAGGTGTCCTGATTCAGCATCTGCCAGTATAAAGCTTAGATAGGACTTGGTTTGGCTTCTGCAAGGTGAGGAATAAATTTCATTGATCCAGCTCCTCCAATATGGAGGTAGGTGCAGGGGGATGTGTGCAGTGACACCAAATAGAGAAGTTGGTTGCATTTAATTTGAGAGCACAAGGCAGTATCTTGGTGTAAATAACTGCATAACACTTGGGAGCAACAGAATAGTTTGAGTTGTTATGATAACTTAAGTTGGATTTATTTGAACCTTAAATCTCAACTTCCTGGATTCGTAAATTTTATGGATTATTAGAATGAAATCTACAGAGATCTAGAATGGCTGGGACTTCTCTAGCACAGAATGCAAGGCCAGCTCTCTCCATCTGTTGCAATCTATTTTTATACAATGCTTGTGACTCCTTGGCATGCTGACCACTGATTTTTAAGTGTGTAAGTGAAAACTGCAGTATTTTACTCCAACACAGTTGTTTAGCATGTCCTGAAACTGAAAATAGACCTTTATATTTGTGGAGTTTGTTGTGTTTTTGGTGTTTCTTTCCTTAAAATTAGGTCAAGAGGGGAGATGGGTGTTAAGTCAAATTATTCAGGCTTGAAATTGTTTTGACAAATATTTATTAATGCAAGTCTCAGCAACAAAATTTTTTATTTCCATATTTCCAACCAGAAGGAATGTTACAGCTCCACACCACAAAGCCTCTATGGTACACACCTCCTGCTTACCCCATTTCCAAGCTGCTTTGTGTATCAAACATCCCCAGAAACCATCTGTAGAGATGGCTCCAGCATCTCCACCTCTGAGACAGCACGGGCCAAAAAAAAAGGTTAGCCTGCTTCACTCTCTCCTAAAATACTCCCTCTGTAAAGCACAAATAACAAAATATATTTTTTTGCTTCTAAGAGCTTCACTTATCTGCAGAAAAATAGAACTGCTTTAGAGTGAGCTAGTTAAGATTATGGAGGGGTTCAAGCACACACCCTGCAGGTTCTGCACCTCCCAACAAATCTGTGAGAAGGAAGAGTTCACCAGTTGATCCAACTAAAAAGGAGCCAGATAGTGTTCAAGGAACAGAAATCCATCCTATCCAAAATACTGAATGCCTTCTCATTCTTCTCTCTAGAGCAAGATGAGGAGAGAACTGTAGCTATGAAACATTTCTCTTAAGTGCGGGGACACATTTAGAATGAACCTTCCAAACACTGCAAAAATTCAGAACAAAACCTAAAAGGTTTTTTTTTGTCCAAGGAAATACTGAAAACAGCATACAGAGCTTGAGTATCCACAGAACAAACTGAGAAACAAAGAGAGTTCATTTGATCTACAGTGCTTTTGTTAAGGTATTCAGAGACTTTAGTGCATTCTTTAGAACTAAGCTCAGAAACTATGCTCCATTTTTCATTTTATTAGAAAACTAAACTGTATGAGGCAAAGAACATTTGATCAAACACACAATGGTGAAAAAACATGGCACTGACAAGGCATTTAACCCAACCATTATCACAAACTGATTTGGGATTCTCTATTGCTTCCAGTCAGGTATACATCATTTCTGCCATGTGAGACATTTTCTTGGGAATATATAAGTAGTATTCCATGTATCCAGACAGATCTTCAATAGTCACGTCATCTACAAAGGCTCGAGCTTGCTCAGAACAAGATCTAGGAGAACCTGTTGGCACTGCCCCACAGGGGGATCTGTGAAGAGACTGGGCATGGGCTCCCAGGACTGCCTTCTCACATTCCGACAGGACGCTCCGCAGGCCGGAGAATGAGTACACTTCCATGGTTCTCCACTGTTTGCACTGGCATTTCCTGTCCGTACAAGGGCACTGCTTCCCATTGCTAAGCATGGATAAGGACTGGAAATCAGAGGTTTGGCTACAATGCAAGCTGGTTTCAAAGGATGAGGAGAGAGCAGGGAAATTCTCTCTTGACTTCTCCAAAGGCTCTTTGGCAGTGAAAGCTTCCAAAGGTTCAGTCCTGTCCTCGCCGGCCTCCAGGTGAGAATCGTGCCCGTCCTTCGTACCGTGTTCTGCTGCAACAAAAACGTCTGAACTGATGCTGCCCGTGGCTGGGTCTGCCTGGGGGTTGTGTTTCAACTGGCTGGTGGCTTTCACGTTGCAGTATGTAAACTTGGGAGGATGCAGGACAGGAGACTTGGAGCGTCTGCGCCGTGGGACTCTTGCTGACCCTCGGGAAGGCTTCCTCACACACCTGCAGGGTTGCAACAGGTGAGCAAGTAGGCAACTCCAGAATCTACACCATAGCTCAGCAGCTGTAAGAGGTAGCTACAAATGCTTTAGATTTTATTTGTTTGTTGTTTTTTTTCTGCTTAGAAAAACCAGGTGACTGGTCACTGACAATCTCTAACAGGAACAGCTGAAAAACTTGGGGCTCCCCCCCAAAGGACACAGACAAACAGCCCTATTTTACAGGTACCTTCCCCCAAAATGGTCTGTGTTAATTAAACAATACTTTGTCATTTCAAACTGGTCTGTAGTGCAGAACCTGGATATTGGTTGGAGCTGCTAGCAGAATCACCTGGAATATCCAGGTACCTCAATACAGAAATAAAATTACCCAGGACAGGGGTAGGAGGGGGTTGCAAAGGTGTAAGACTTGAACAAAAGGAGGAACTAGGCGGAAAATAAAGTTTTAGGTACCCCCTCCAAGATAAGAGGCCATATTGCTTTTAAAGTCTTTGACAAAATGCCCTTAAAACCCACCACATCAAACAGATAACAGTGAAGTTTTGTAATAGAAAAGAGAGAAAACAGAAGTTGAAGCAACTAATTCCAGCTTTCACTAGAAACAGAAAGTGAGTGCTGAGTGCCTTGGCACAGGCAGGCAGGCATGGGGCAGTGACCAGTGTGTTTTACCCATGCCATATGTCCTTGGAGCTGCCAGGCTGTGGCTTGGCCCCCTCCCCAGATGCTCTCAGTGGTGTCCTCAGCAGGGTCCCGTCACCCCCAGGCAGAGTTCCCGTGCATCTAGGAAAACAGGGAGACACCAGGTCAGAGCTGCAGTGTCTGAGGATCAGGGAGACACCTCCTCACAGCAGTGCCTGGACACGCTGCTTCAGAGCTCCAAGCTCAGCCTCTGCTTTAGAAATATCTAAGTTTGCAGCCTTGAGTTCCTCTGTAGTCAGTGGTTAGAAACAAGAATATTACAGAGATTTATCAACCTGCTCTTACTGTATTGACCTCAGTCAAGTGTCTAAAGAGAGGTGAGATGAGATGATACGAGATGAAGGGAGACAAAAATGCCCAGAGGCTGAGGTCATGCCCTCTTTATACTAAAACACACGAAAGGAATGTAAGCTCTGGTTCCAGATGCTCCTGTCAGACAACAGTAGTTAAAGATAGGCTCCTTACTCATCTGAAATGCAGTCAGGAACCCACAGCAGCAGGCTGAGCAGTCAGGGGACAAGTGGACAAGGTACAATGGACAAGGACAGATTCCTAATTTATTCTCATTAAATTTCCCAGATAAACATGGAATGAAAAAAAACAACACATCTGGCCCTGCAGGTTCAGACAACAAAAATAAATGCCCGAGCAGGCAGATCTGTACTTATCGTGCCTGTATGTGTGATTTCAAACACAGAATAGAAAATGCTAAAACATGAGGCTTAAATTCTAGCAGAAGAGCCCAAGCACTCTGCTCAAAGTTGATCTTAAGGGACTAGTCACAAGACTTGAGCTGTTCAAAACACAGGCCTGCAAAACAAGATCCTTTTATGCCTAAGAAGATATCATCAGGAATCAACCAGAACTGCACACAGTCTTGTCCCTGGTAACACATCAGAATTAGCAAGCTTAATAAGCACAGTTCCTTGTTACAGACCAGCTGGTTTTTTTCCACTTGTAACAGAAGACCTCCTGAAGCAGAGGAAACAAGTAACAAAGCAAAATACATTTCAATGTGCAGAGGAAGTCATGAGTTCACGGTATTGATGGCTGTGGAGATGAATTCACAAGGTAACACTGGTTATCAGTACAAAGCTGTCTCTTGTGTCTCTGAACTCCCAAAAGATTTCAAGTGGACTTTCTCACAAACTCTTAGGCTGCCTGATTTTATTAACTCCCCATTTCAGGGAAGATGCTTGTATTGCATATTCTCAGTGCACCCGGTGTGTTATGGAGCACATTTTTAGTGCAGGAATCCCTGCAGACTGAAACAATGAGTGCTCACGTTCAGCCTGATGATCTCCAGGCAGACTGGGCTCTCCAGCACAGCACCCCAGGATGGTGCTGGCCTGCAGGTGCTTTCCCAGCCAATCTGCAGGGACCACAGGGAAGGCTGATAAGGTGGTTGATGGCACCAGTGTTTGCATGAATGGACAAACATGTTCTGTTCCACACCAGGCGACTTCAGTTAAGAGCAGTCCCATGCCCTGGGTGAGTCACCTCAGGTTTTCATGCTGTCACTGTGTGATTTCAGTTGGATCTTGTGTCAAAATCAGTCAGCAATAAAGCCCTATTAAACAGTTGTAATTACTACATTTCATGTCAAGTGATGCAGTTGTCTTCTCCCTGAGAGTAATGACCCTTTCACCAAATCACACGTGTTTTGAGATTCAAAATAACAGAGAAATACAAATCTCTAGTAAGAAAGTGACAAACGACACGGACCTTTTTGTTGCTCACTCACCCTGCTGCCTCCACCCTCAGCTTCTTGAAAGCAGTTTGCAGACTCTCCTCCTCTTCATCTTTAGCTTCCAGGTCCATGGAGGGGCTCTCAGGGTGCCACCAGCTGTGCCCTGCAGCATCAACTGCTGGGCAGGCGTCCGGGTGTGACGCGGGGGGTCCGGGCAGTGCGACAGGTGCCTGTTTCCCCACCGCTGCCCTCCCTGCCTGCCGAACCAGAGCTGCCTGCAGCTTTGCACCCCGGCACCCCCCGCTCTGAAGCCCCCGACAGCACCAGGCGGGATCCCCCGCGGCC